GGCTGGAGAAGGGGAGATGTAGGCAGGAGAGTAGAATGTAGAGAGAAAGGAAGGTTGAGACTTGAGACTGATCTGTTTTTATATTTTTATATATATATATATATATATATATATATATATATATATACATACACACACATGTATATATACACATATATATACATATATATATCTTAAATGCATACATATCCCCATATAACATTCTTCTGTTCGGAATTTTAAAAGGGTTTTTTTTTTAAAATCAGTTGTAAACATCTTTTACTTTTAAACATGTTTTTCTCATTATAACAAACTACAATTTAATAACAATTCAAACTGCAAAACCATATACTATTTGGTACAGAAATATAAGCCAGAGAATCATCAAGAGAAGAAACAGGGAAATCTTGTAGCAGTCTCTAAATCCTACACCTACTATACTACAGTTGACTGCAGAAGACTGGAAGTTGATGTTTCATCTGAAAAGTACCAATAGGACCAGTACTGAAGCAGAGTAGAAAATTACTATAAAAGCAATACTTCTGGTTTCAGAGTTGTTTAGAATCTTAGTTTTGTTTTATTTTTAAGTAAAGAAACTTATTTACATGTTTATTTTTATATTTACTCTTATGATTATGAAATGAAAACACTTTCTTTTGCTTTTATAAATGTGCTGTAATATGAAATGGGTGCGTTCACCATTTAATTAAACCAAGAGATTTACTAAATTCACTTTATAGTAAATCAAAAATAATCATTAAAGAAATGAAAAAAGATATAAAAATATTCTAGAATGTCTTATAAAACTGATTAATTTACAGCATTAACCCCTTAAATATAGTAAACACCTTACTATTCTGTATCTTACAGATATTTTAATTTTTTTCAAAGAATCTATTTTTTATTTTAGCAGCATTGAAATTCTATTTACACAATGAAGAGCAATGGAGGACAACCAACCAAACCACTACCCTCAGAAAACTAAATATTCTATTCATTTTAATATACACATTATCAATTCTACCCTTGAATTTGAAGAATATGTGACCTGTGAGAAGTAAAATCAAAACCTAACTGATTACGGTTCAGAAACCTAAATAAAGTGCCATAGATCAAAAAATGACTGCTTCATATTCAAAGGCACAAGTTCAACTTCACAGATCGTCTGGACTCACTGCATTATACTGCAGGAGAGAGAGGTTAAGAAGTGACCTTGGGATCCTGCTCTCCAGATGTCTGAGGGACCCATTTCTTTATTAAAAGTATCTCTACTTTTGATAAATACCTAGCTTACTACACACTTGATGTCTTTGCTCTTATAAGACTCTACTTGAAGCTCTTTTGAAATTTTAGGACTGTAGATATTATAAAGAAAAAATTTAAGAAGATGCAACATGCACAAAGGGTCAACATATACTCCTTCCTTTCTGATGCAATGCACAAGAAGGTTAAGAAACTACTATCATACACCCTTAAGTTTAGGGACATATTTTCAGAGATTTTAAATCAGAAATTCAATAAACGTTACGCATTTACTTCCCATTATTTCAGATCATGAAAGAAATTTTTAACTAATTTGTAATATACTATATATATATATATATATATACACACATATATATATACTCCACAAATAACGATCTACAGACATACATCCATATAAAAATTCCCTTATTCTTTTAACTAAAACTTAAGTTTATGTTTCTTCTGGTCATAAAAATCCAGTTTGGGGTGTTTTAAAAGTTCAAACATATACTAAGCCATGCTTTGCTTTGGCACTAGCTCCCCCTCCAGACCAACCTACTGATATAACTGCACTTAAAAAAACAAACAAGTAAGAAACACAAGTTTTTCCAAGCCACTAGCAATTTCAAAATTCACCACTTTTAAAGACACTCCAATTCCTTAAAATAACTAGTTAAAATCTGTAACCAAACGCTGCAGAATGTAATCAGAGGTACTGTTTTTTCAATTCCATATGTCTCAAATAAAACTGACTTGTAGGGAAACAACTTCAAGTGACTATTTCAATTTAAGAACATCCTAAAGTACAATCTATATGATGCTATATTTTATGGAAATTATTTTGATCACTAGCCTAATAAAACACAACATACTCTTCATGTTAACTCACTACTTGACCAAAGACACATTTTGCATGTTTCTGCAATCTATGCAACTGTCATTCCAGCTGTTCAGCAATTCAAGAATTCTCAGTTTATAAAGCAGGAAAAGAAAATTCATGCCTCCAAACCATCCTTCTATGTTCCTTAAATCCTATTCGTTTCTAACTCCCCGCATTTTTACATATTAAGCTGTAAAATCACAATTTCAAATGTTTGAATTCCCACCCTATCCCTACTATTGTCGTAGTTATAAATCAAGTAATTAAGACTTTCTATATACACTTTATGATATATTTCACAAGGCTAGCAATGTATGCAGCCTTATTATACGGCATAGGATTTTAGGTTAATTTTAAGTTATTTTTGAAGAAGAGAGAATACAGCTTATACTTCAGTATAACTCTACAGTGCTGCAAATTTCTCTCCTAAAATGTTTCCTATATGATGCACCCTTTAAAAGAAGTATGCATAAAGACAAAATTTAATCAAAAAAAAATAAATATGCACTTAACCCCAAGAATAACAGGGGATAAAGAAACTATAATTAAACCTTGCCTGCAGTTTCTAAAGAGAGCCAAGCCAAAGTTCAATCAGTTACTTGTGATGAGTTTAATTGTAAACTGATAGAAAACTTTTGTCGAAATTTGGTCTGCGTTCCCTTGAGGTTTGTGGTTTCTTTAGGAGGTTCTGGCTTTCCCAGGTCCACTTTCTTTAGTTGGCTTAAGTCAACTGTAAATTAATTCAAACATGGGAAGAAGAAACAACACCTCTCCCTGCCTCTATCCAAGGCCTCAATCAAAAGTAATATACAGCAAAACGCTAAAGCTCACCAAGGATAAATTTTAACCACGATACTGCCATTTAACTTAAGAAATACACTGCATCTCCGACGTTCTGTGGGGCTGAGGATTGCAAACCCCACTGTGAGTGAAAAACAGGTGCTGCACACGACAGCCCACTCACTCTTGCAGGGCAAACCTTTAACTAATAAATAGGGACTCACTTAACCTTCCCAAATAAGTTTGGATACTCTAAAGCCGCAAACTCATCATTTCCACATCAAACGGGGGTGCAGCGGCACTCACACCGTGCACTGCCCTGGCACTGGCCCCTCGCCGGGAGCGGATCTTTGCACGGGTCCACTCCCCGATTTCCAGCCGGAGAACCACTCACGAAAGCCCCTAACGCACAGGAATGCTCTTCCCCACTGTCTGTAACAACATGGAGCGAGTTGCTGGCGAAAAGGTAGGTAGGTGTATTGGAGAGAAGAGGGACACCTCCCACCCCCGCCCCCATCCCTTCTCCTCTCCTCGGCTTCGGCCCCTTCCCTAACCAAGGATGCGCGACGCCGGGGGCAGCCGCCGCGCCGCTACACGCCCCTGCCGGGGCGGCAGGCGCCCCTAGTCCCCTGCCCGCGCCCCCCGGGCACCGCAAAGGCACCCACCAGAGGGTCCCGGGGGCTCCCTCCCCACTTTCCCCGGAGCCGCTGGATAAGCAGCAGCAGTGGCAGCAACAGGCCCGGGGGGTTGCCTGGGGAAAAAGAGCAGCGACGGCCGTCAGGCACCTCCCCAGAGCCTCCTGAGATCCCGCGCTTGCCCAGCCCCAGACCCCAAGACGTGCGGGGCCGGCTCCCAAACGCCCCCTTACCCGAGGCGGGAGCAGAGGCGGTCTCCGCAGTTCCCCAGTCGCCGCCGCCGCCGCTACAGCCCTCAGCCGCAGCTGCCCCGCGTTGGGGTAGTGGGAGGGGTGGCTGGGTGGAGGATGCTATTCCCTACTGAAGGAGGGGAAGAAACGGAAACAGGAACCGCCGCCGCCGCCGCCGCTGCTTAACGGAGCCTTAGGCGCCACTGACTGAGGGAGAGCGCGAGGCGGCGCGAGCCAAGCAGTCGCTGACAGCGCGAGACCGAGCGTGAGCCGGGTCCCGGGCGCGCGACCCCGAGCAACGCCGGCCCCATTCCGCAAGGAGAGGAAGGGGACGGGGCGGCCGGGGGCTGGGAGGGGGCGGCGGCGGGCGGGGGCCTGGAGCGGAGGGAAACCGGCTACTCCGGTCGGCCGGAGATAACACGCGCACGCGCCGGAGCTGCTCTGACAACGAGCGCAGGCGGGGAAGCCTCGGCTAGCGCAAGCGTGCGCGCGCGAATGGGGGCGCGCGCCCCTCAGCGTTCCAGGCTTCTAGGAGAAGGCGCGCATGCGCTGGCCGCTGCCACCTACGGGGACCCCGGCATGTGCCAGGGCTTCTCCCTGCCCCCTTCTCGCCGCGCCCGTTGATAACGTAGTCGCAGCATCTACCGCCCGGCTGAGTTGCGGGCTACAGCGGGACCCGGAGACTTCCAGCAGGGCAGCAGATGTGCGCGCGGGCGCCGGCTCCGACACGAGCGTAGGCCGCCCTCTACCGCCTGAAGGCCGGAGGCTAAAGGGGGCGCGAGTGGAGCCGGGCTCTCCACTCCAGGGAGCGCCACCTCCGGGGAATGCCGTATTCTCTACCGCCGGGAAACGGACTGGCCCGTGCCAGTTCAGCCCGCGGCCCTAAGGAGCACTGGTATTGGAGATCTGGAGCAGGCTCCTTGCTACTTTTCAGGAGTGATCGCTGCTGCTCAGCCCCTGCAGCCCAGGTCTGGCCGCTCCGCTGCAGCTTGCAGCACGATCATAGAATGGCATCGCAGCCACATGCGACTAGCGAAGCCCTGTTTTATCTTGTGAGAGCTGGTCTTCCACATCACCCCGACAGAAAGACCCACACACACACACCCCCGCCGCCACGAGGGCCCGAGTTCGGTGCCTGGCCTCTCCCCCGACCCACGGCTGCAACAGCCCCTCCGAAGCGGAAGTTTATTCAGTACGGGAAGGAGAACAGGGGGCGGGGGGGAGGGGGCTATTCCCTAGGATGCTTCCTACCGCTCGGACTCGGGAAATTCCTGGCGCCCGCGATGCAGAGCAGTGGGCCGAAGAGCTAGACCAGTCAAGCCCAGACGGCGAGCTGAGCCGGAGGACCTGATCGCGCAGCCCAGGCACACAAAGTAGTCGCGGGCCGAGGGGAGTGCCATGGAGGCCAATCAGAGACGCGAGCCGCGTGAGTGGAATGCGAGCCGGCCAATCAGAGAGTGGGAGGATGAGCTTCCCGTACCGAACTCTTCCCTGTAGCCTGCGGACCCAGATCCCAAGCCTGGGGTGCAATACCTTGGGAAAGGAAATGGTGCCCTAAACACAAAAAAATTATTTCTCTAGACTTGGGTGTTTTTAAGTAAATGCCTTAGGTACTTATCCCAGAGCAAAGAGCGGCGGCCTTTTACATGCCGAGTATGAACGGATCACAGAAAAGAGACTTAAGAGGCAGTGGTCTGCCAAGACTGCAATCTGCCTAAAAACACTAATAAATTTACATTTTTACTGACACCTTTTTATAGGCCAGAAACTGTATTACAGAAATACAAATAAGATGCTGCTGATTCAAAGAAGAAAAAAGTTCCTGTCCTCAAGAAGTTCAGTTTCCTCTGAAAGAGGTTTGCTGGACCTTATGACTGGTATTTATCCTCAGACCTTTAAACAAAAAGCTGTCAGCGAAGTGGTAGTTTCCAGTCATTTTATGATTGTTATCTCCCTGTAAGAAGAGAAATTTGAGAGAAAAGTAGACTGACTTAGCTAAGGTCACACAAAAATATACTGGCAGAGCCAGAATGATACTCTAGCTCAGAGTTTAGACACCATCATTCAACCATCATTTATCTAACCCATGGGTGCTATCCTCCACTGAAGAGGTTTCTGCTCTAAGCTTATAAATTGAGCAAAATTCTGCTATAAGAGCCACATACTTTAGTTGTTGGAAATTGTCAGAAGTTTTAGGCTTATGACATAGTAAGATAGATTAAAGCCAAAGTCTTATCAGTCAAACTCTAGGTAATTTTTAGAAGTCAGAGATGAGGTGGATATTTACTTTTTAATTTAAACAGCACTTTAAAAAAATATTTTAGCAAGCATGTTTAAAGCTTACCTTGTATAATATTTTAAGATCTCCAACTTCAAAGCTTTAATTTATATTTGCCTCAAAACATCTGGGTTTTTTAATCTGGGCTTCATTTTTCCTTTCCAAAAACCTAGGCATTGAAATATTTATATTCTCTACCTCCTTCTGCTAAAAAAAAATAAAAAATAAAAAATTCTGTCCAAGGAATGTTCATCTAGGATTTAGTGCACTTTAATAGGGTGGCATAATATATATTGAAACACCAAATAACTTTGGTGTCTCTAAAATATACTCAAAAACTAGTTCTTCAGCAATTTGGATTGTGTTCTGTTGAGTCAGTGTGCGTCACAGCCTCTGACAGAACACTGTTATCAAAGCCCTTTCCAGGACATGCCCAGCATTTAGATGCCACCTCAGAACTGGAAGTATCAGTTAAACAACTGATTTGTGAGAACCAATCTTTACACATTGAGGTCCAGGCCAATAATGAATTTCCATAAAATTCCCAACAATTCCAGTTTTTAAAAAACACATTTCTTGGGGCTTCCCTGATGGCGCAGTGGTTGAGAGTCCACCTGGCGATGCAGGGGACGTGGGTTCGTGCCCCGGTCTGGGAAGATCCCACATGCTGTGGAGCGGCTGGGCCCGTGAGCCATGGCCGCTGAGCCTGCGCGTCTGGAGCCTGTGCTCCGCGACGGGAGAGGCCACAACTATGAGAGGCCCGCGTACCGAAAAAAAAAAAAACATTTCTTTTACTCTCACAAGAGAGATAATTACTGAAACTCTGCCTTCTTCTTGCTAGGTTAAATTTCTGACAGAGAAAATATCCCCAAAAGATTCTAAACATCTCTGGCCACCAGAAGACATCTCTGTCAAAGGCTGTTTTCTCCATAAGCTCCAGCCTCCCCCTCTGCTTCTAGGCCCTCTAGCTCTTCTTACCCCAGCTGCCTGCCTCTGCCTCTCATCATCCCTAGTTTCTTATATTTGCCTGAGCAAGTAGAATTGCTCCACCACTTCCTCCATGGCTCCCTCACCAACTAGGTTTTATGCCTATCTCTGCTTATCTGAAAACTTACAGGCAAGTTCTGCTCAACAAAACATTGTACAGAACATTCTTCATGACATGTTGTACTGAGAACTAATCATTGTACAGAACATTCTTCATGACATGTTGTACTGAGAACTAATAGAACCTTGTCCATACATTTTATTCTTTTTCATAAGCCTGCGTGAAATTCTTAGTCATCAACTAGAGCTGTGGAGTCTTGTGGATGGGGTGAGGAGGAATTAACCATTAGACAATGGAAAAGGTCAAAATGAAAGTTAGTGAGTACATGAGTGGCCATTTTATTGAGAGATTAGCTAGATCAAAGTTAATGAACTTGAATACTATCACATTTCCAAAATTTTGAACATTCATGTAGGAACTAGTTTGAAATTGACTACCATTTCATTAATGACTATAATAAAAATAATAGATGAGGTGTAATATTGCTGAGTGCCAGGCCCCATAATAAGCTCTTTACCTCCGTTATTTAATTCTCAAATCAACCCTTTGAGGTGGGCCCCTTATTACAATGGTTGGGGGGATCAGAGAGAAAGGTTGAAGAGGCTCTCAGGAGGTTCAGCAGCAGGTACTTACCAAATAGTTTAGAAAATTCTCCATCTCTGTCATTGTGGACCAACTGAATATCAGCCCTAGGAACATTTTTTTTAATTTTATTTATTTTATTTTTGGCTGCATTGGGTCATCGTTGCTGCACACGGGCTTTTCTCTGGTTGTGGCGAGCGGGGGCTACTCTTTGTTGCGGTGCGCGGGCTTCTCATTGTGGTGGCTTCTCTTGTTGTGAACACGGGCTGTAGGCGCACAGGCTTCAGTAGTTGTGGCACACAGGCTCAGTAGTTGTGGCTCGCGGACTCTAGAGCACAGGCTCAGTAGTCGTGGCGCACGGGCTTAGTTGCTCCGCGGCATGTGGGATCTTCCCGGAGCAGGGTTCAAACCCATGTCCCCTGCATTGGCAGGTGGATTCTTAACCACTGCACCACCAGGGAAGCCCACCCTAGAAACATTCTTGATAAATTTTAATTGCTCTTGTTTTCTAATTGTTGCTCTAGCTACGTTTTACTTAGAGGATTCCTTTTTGCAGCAAATCATCCAAAGGACAGCATTGTTATTACTACATGCAAGAAGGTGTGACCTTGAGATAATCATTTTACAAATTTCGGCCTTAGTTTTCTCATCTGCAAAATAAAAGGGTTGGACTAGATAAACTTTAGTTGTTTGCCAGTTCTAAAACAATAAACCTAGCTAGTTTGACACACCATTGGCAGTAACTACAACAATGAAATATGGAAAAACAGTCCATACTTTCAAATCCAATAAATATTTTAAGTCACTTTTGAGCCAACTCCTTAAATAGAAACTCTGACTATACCTACTCGTTAAAGAGCCAAAGCCAGTCTTTCCAATCAGAAGGTTAAATAAAGTGACTGATGTAAAGACTGATGAAACTGGCCAAACTATCCCTCCTTGCCTGCATGGCTGAAATTACTGTCTTCTCCATTAGGATAAAGTATCAGATAGTTCACACTGTTGATTTCTTATTCAACATCTACTCCTGTTCCTTCCTTATTGAGTTCCTTGTTTTTATTTTTATTTGTTTGTTTTTTAGGTAACCATCCAACCTCCGGCTACAGAAGGGCAACTCAATTAGTCTGACTCAATCAGTAAATGAATTCCCTTGTATGGTAGAGACTCGTAAGGCTTACCCTGTCTTTCCAGGCACGTACAGAGATTACATCCCTGCCACCCACCCCAACACTTGTAGTTCGGTGGACCATGTGACTAGTTATAGTCACTAGTCTATAGTGGGTTGTGGATAAAGGTGATATGTGTCACTTCCAGATAAAACACCTAATTGCAAGTATAAGTCCATCTAGTGTTACTCTTCCCCAGTCTCAAGACCAGTATTGTTGAAGATGATACAGCCTTTGTCAACCTAGGTCCCCAAGAAAGAACAATGTGGAACAGCCCACCTCCCACCCTTATCAAGTCAGAATGGATATATAGTTTGAGTAAAAACTATACCTTTGTTGTTTAAGCTACTGAGATTTGGGGGGTTTTTTGTTTTTATTGCTGTGTGACCTAGAATCTAAGTTATGCTAGGTCCTAGACTACCCTAATTATTACACCTGAAAACCATTGTAGTCCTGGGGTAAACTGGTCCCATCAACTGAAGGGAAGGATTTTGAGCCCATGCTTTGGGGAGAAGATTCTCTCTTTCCTACCTACAGGTCAGCCTATAACCCAGATTGCCACTGGCAGCAATCTAACAACCACAAGAGGAACTAAACTTAGAATGAAGTCAACACACTAAGGATGGCAAACAGAGAGAAGAACACTTGAAGATATGATTGAGCTGAAGGTTATATCACTCCTGAAGGCTAATCTTCTGTGGACTTCTAAATCTGCAAAATAATAATTCTGCTTGTTTGTTTCTCCAAAATGCTGTAAGCAGAAAATACACCTTGAATATCATTAATTTCATCACATTTCCTAACACAGATCTAGCTCAAGAAGCACTCAAAAATATTGGATGAATTAAAAATATAATAGCTCATACTCTTGCCTTCAGAAATAAAATATTACTTGCATTAACAAGGGGGAAAAGTAATTTGATTCAACTCAGTCTTTTTACAGGTGAAGAGAAGACCCAGGTATGTTACAAAATTTATGAAGTTCACATAGCATCGTTATGGCAGAACTGAAGGGGAAAAAAACCTAATAATTGCTTCATCAGAAACGACCGTAGTCTGGGCATATACCCAGAGAAAACCATAATTCAAAAAGACACATGCACCCCAATGTTCACTGCAGCACTATTTACAAGAGCGAGGTCATGGAAGCAACCTAAATGCCCACTGACAGACAAATGGATAAAGAAGATGCGGTACACATATACGATGGAATATTACTCAGCCATAAAAAGTAATGAAATTGGGTCATTTGTAGAGATGTGAGTGGACCTAGAGACTGTCATACAGAATGAAGCAAGTCAGAAAGAGAAAAACAAATATTGTATATTAATGCATATATGTGGAATCTAGAAAAATGGTGCAGATGAACCGGTTTGCAGGGCAGAAATAGAGACATAGATGTAGAGAACAAACGTATGGACACCAAAGGGGGAACGCAGCAGGGTGAGGGGGGGAGCGTGGGATGAATTGGGAGATTGGGATTGACATATGTACACTAATTTGTATAAAATAGATAACTAATAAGAACCTGCTGTATAAAAAAATTAAATTAAACTTTTAAAAAAATGACAATAGTTTCCAACTCAAGATGGAGAAGTAATGAGACAGTATATTAC